GTTCTTCAAAAGAATAAACAAAATTTATAGACTGCTAGCTGGATTAATCAAGAGACAAAAGAGAGAAGATCCAGGTAAACAATCAGAAATGACAAAGGGAATATTAACACCAACCCCACACAAATACAAAAACCAGGCCGGATAGGGGCTCATGCCTGTAATCCCAGCACTTTGGGAGGCCAAGGCAGGCAGATGACCTGAGGTCGGGAGTTCGAGACCAGCGTGACCAACATGGAGAAACCCTGTCTCTACTAGAAATACAAAAAATTAGCCGGGTGTGGTGGTGCATGCCTGTAATCCCAGCCACTCAGGAGGCTGGGGCAGAAGAATCGCTTGAACCAGGAGGCAGAGACTGCAGTGAAACAAAATCATGCCATTGCATTCCAGCCTGGGCAAGAAGAGCAAAACTCCATCTCAGGAAAAAAAAAAAGGAAAGAAAAAACACTCAGAGACTGTTACAAATACCTCTATGCATACACACTAGAAAACATAGAAGAAATAAATTCCTAGAAACATCCCAAGATTGAAGCAGGAAGAAATGGAAATCCTTGTAATAGTCCAATAACAAGTTCCAAAATTGAATCAGTAGTTAAAAAAACCTACCAACCAGAAAAACCCCTGGACTAGATGGAGTCATGGCCAAAGTCTACCTAATATACAAATAAGGGCTGGTACCAATTCCATGGAAATTATTCCAAAAAATTGAAAAGAAGGGTCTCCTGTCTACTCATTCTATGAGGCTAGGATCATTCTGATACCAAAACTTGTCAGAGACACAATGGAAAAGGAAAACTTCAGGTCATTAACTCAGGTGAGGGCAGATGGGCAGGCCACGGTGGCTCATGTCTGTAATCCCAGCACTTAGGAAGCCAAAGTGGACAGATTGCTTGAGCTCAGGAGTTCAAAACCAGCCTGGGCAACATGGAGAAACCCCAACTCTACAAAAAAAAAAAAAAAAAAATTCAAAAAATTACCCAGGAGTGGCTGGGTATGGTAGCTCATGCCTGTAATCCCAGCACTTTGGGAGGCTGAGGGCAGGCGGATCACCTGAGGTCAGGAGTTCAAGACCAGCCTGACCAACATGGAGAAACCCTGTCTCTACTAAAAATAATTACCCAGGAGTGGTGGCACATGCCGGTAACCCCAGCTATTCGGGAGGCTGAGAGAGGAGCATCAGTTGAACCCAGAAGACGGAGGTTGCGGTGAACCAAGAACACGCCACTGCACTCCAGCCTGGGAAACAAAAGTGAAATTCCATCTCGAAAAATAAAACAAAATTACTCATGTATAGTGGCATGCACTTGTGGCCCCAGTCACTCAGGAGGTGGAGGTGGGAGGATCACTTGAGCCCGGGAGGCAGAGGTTGCAGTGAGCTGAGATTGAGCCACTGCACTCTAGCACGGGTGACATAATGAGACCCTGTCTCAAAAAAAAAAAAAAAAAAAAAAAAAAAGAAAAAGAAAAAAGAATATAGACACAAAAATCCTTAAAAAAGTATTAGCAAACTGAGTCTAGCAGCACATTGAAAAGATAATACACCGCAATCAAGTAGGCTTTATTCCTTAGATGCAAGGCTGGTTCAACATGCAGATCAATAAATGAGATTCATCACATAAACAGAACTAAAAACAAAAACTACATGATCATCTGAAAAGACACAGAAAAGGCTTTTGATAAAATTCAACATCGCTTTACATTAAAAAAACCTTAACAAAACTAAGCAACTAAGGAACACACCTCAAAATAATAAGAGCCATCTCTGATAAACCCATAGCCAACATCATACTGAATGTGCAAAAGCTGGAAGCATCCTTGAAAAATGGAACAAGACAAGGATGCCCATTCTTACCACTCCTTTTAAGTAAAGTACTGAAAATCCTAGCCAAAACAATCAGTCAAGAGAAAGAAATGAAAGGCATCCAAATAGAAAGGAACTCAAAATTCTCTCTTTACAGATGATGATTCTTTACCTAGAAAACCCCATAGTGTTTGCCCAAAAGCTCTTAGAACTGATAAACAGCTTCAGTAAACTTTCAGGATACAAAATCAATGTACAAAAATCAGTACATTTCTATACACCAATAATGCCCAAACTGAGAGCCAAATCAAAAATGCAACCTCATTTATAACAGCCACGAAAACAATAAAATACTTAGGAATACAGTTAGATCTTTCACCACAATGAAAAATATCAGAGATGACATAAATGGAAAAACATTCCATGCTCATAGACAGGAAGAATAAATATTGATAAAATGGTCTTACTGCCCAAAGCAATTTACAGATTCCTATTTGTTATTCCTGTCAAACTACCAACATCACCTTTCACAGTATTACAAAAAACTATTCTAAAATTTGTATGGAATCAAAAATGAGCCCAAATAGCCAAGGCAATCCTAAGCATAAAGAACAAAGCTGTAGGCATCACACTACCTGACTTCAAACAAGGCTACAGTAACCAAAACAGCATGAAACTGACACACAAACCGACACACAGACCAATGGTACAGGTCTGAGAACTCAGAAATAAAGTTGCACATCTACAACTATCTGATCTTCAATAAAGCTGACCACAACAAGCAATGGAGAAAGGACTCCCTATTCAATAAATGGTGCTAACTGCCTAGCCATATGCAGAAGATGGAAACCAGACCCCTTTCTTTCACCATATATAACAATCAACTGAAAATGGATTAAAGACTTAAATATAAGACCTAAAACTATTAAAAAAAAAAAAAAAAAAAACCTGGGAAACACCATTCTGCACATAGGCCTTGGCAAAGATTTGATGGCAAAGTCTCCAAAAGCAATTGTAACAAAAACAAAAATAGGTAAGTGGGACCTAATTGAAGAGCTTCTATACGGCAAAAGAAACTACCAACAGGTTGCTTAAACAGACGACTTACTGAATGAAAGAAAACATTTGCAAACTATGCATCTGATAAAGGTCTAATATCCAGAATCTATAGGGAACTTAAACAATTGAGCAAGCAAAAAATAATCCCATTAAAAAATTGGCAAAAGCCATGAACACTTCTCAAAGAAAGACATATAAGCAGTAGCCAACAAACATGAAAAAATGTTCCACATCACCAATCATCACAGAAATACAAATCAAAACCACAATTAGATGCCATCTCATACCAGTTGGAGTGGCTATTCTTAAAATGTCAAAAAAAAAAAAAGAAAAGAAAAGAAAACAGACACTGATGAGATTGTGGAGAAAAGGGAATACTTACACACTGCTGGTGGGAATATAAATTAGTTCAGCCACTGTGGAAAGCAGTTTGGAGATTTCTCAAAAAGTTAAAACAGAACTACCATTTGATCCATCAATCCACTACTGAGAATATACCCAAAGAAATAGAAATCGTTCTACCAAAAGGACACACACATCCTTAAGTTCATCACTGCACTGTTCACATTAGCAAACACATGGAATCAACTGAGATGCCCATCAGTGGTGAACCAGATAAAGAAAATGCATTATATACACACCACAGAATACTATAAAGCCATTAAAAAACCCCAAATCACATCCATTGCTGCAGCATGGATGCAGCTGCAGGCCATTATCCCAAGCAAATTAATATGGGAACAGAAAACCAAATACTGCATGTTCTTATTTGTAACGTGGAGCTAAACATTGAGTACACATGGACACAAAGATGAGAACAATAGACATTGGGGCCTACTAGAATGGGAAGGGCTGGAGGAGGGCAACTGTCAAAAAACTGCATATTGGGTACAATGCTCACTACCCAAGTGACAAAATCATTTGTACACCAAATTCCAGCAACACATAATTTACCCACGTAACAAAGCTGCACATGTATCCTCTGAATCTGAAATAAAAGTTGAAAAAAAAAAAAAAAAAAGAAAGAAGAAAAAAATGGGCTATGATAAAGCCAAAAGTAATTCTGGTTTTGCCTTTCAAAGTTCTGTATTTTATTACTTCAGAAAGCACTACATCTTTGGAATCATTTCTATAATGGTGCCAAAACACACTGAAACTAAATGTGATCGATTCAAAGGGAAACAGAGATAAGGACCTGGGTGTCATGGCTCATGCCTGTACAACACTTTGGGAAGTTGAGGCAGGTGGACTGCTTGAGCCCAGGAGTTCAAGACCAGCCCAGGCAACACGTTTCTACAAAAAATACAAAAATTAGGCAGGTAGTGGTGAGATCACGGCTTACTGCAGCCTTGACCTCCTGGACTTAAGTGATCCTCCTGCTTCAGCCTCCTGCGGAGCTCAGACAAGTGTGCACCACCACAGCCAGCCAATTTTTTGATTTTTTGTAGAGATGGGGTCTCACTTTGCTGCCTAGGCTGGTGTTGAACCCCTGGGCCCAAGTGATCCCTCCACCTCAGCCTCCCAAAGCATTGGGTTTACAGGCACGAACCACCACACCCAGCCAAGTCTTAATATATGTTTACTTATCTATATTATGGCAATAAGAAATTTGATGTTTTTTTCACTTTCAACCTTACTTACCCAGCAGCATTCTGTTTGTAAATAACACATATCTACTTTAAAGTACAATGGCCTTTTGTTAACCATATCAAGAAGAATATAACACCCTGACAGTTTCATTCATCATTAGAAAGCAAACTTTTTCTGTAAAGATCCAGAGAGTAAAACAGTTTAGGCTTTTTGAGCCATACGTGGTCTCTGCAGCATGTTCTTTTTTTTTTTTTTTTTTTTACCCCCTACAACTCTTCAACCTCAACCATTTAAAAACTTAAAAGAATATTCTTAATTCTTAGCTTAAGGATTCTACAAAAATATAAAATGTTAATAAAGCATCACTGAGGCAGGTCTAATTTCTAGAAAAAATACATATATAAATGAGATATCAGACTAAGAAGCAGAGAAAAGCAGAAAATAATCTAGACCATAACAATATTAGTTTCATTATATAAAAATACCCAAGCTATTAACAAAATAACAAACAAAAAATAACTCTAAGTGTTCCATATGTTTAATTTTTGCTTACCTTTGGCTGTGGCATGAACCACAGCAGCCTGAGAGATAATCTGGTAAGTTTCAAAACCCAGATAAGACAAAGCTGACAGTAAAAGACCTCTTTTGAAAGTTCCTGGGTTTCCCATTACCTATGGAAACAATTATGGTCAGAGTTACAAACTGAAAATTTGAAGGCACTGCTACCCCAAGGAAAAATTACATTAATTTTCTTCCACCTGAAAGCAATCGATCATAATACTGGAAGCTTAAAATTTTTACTTGATCAAATTACTTAGTAAAACGGTCTCAAAGCATATCTTATTAAGAAAAAGATACCACCTGGAGTGGTAGCTCATCTAAAAATCACATTCCTGCTGGAAAAGGCAGAGCTACAACTTATTTGCGAATGCATGGATATTGCAAATTATATGAAGTAAAGTATGAGAAAACAATACAAAATAAAATGAATCTTACAGACAAGATTATCAAATATAGTAATTACTACATATAAAAATTGTACATGGCTAACTTTTAAATTTTTTTGTAGACAGGGTCTCGTTGTGTTGCCCAGGCTGGTTTCAAACTCCTGGACTCAAGCAATCCTTCGCCTAGGCTTCCGAAAATCCTGGGATTATAGGCGTGAGCCAAGGAGCCGGGCCTACAATGGGACTTCACACCCATCATTGTTCTAATTTGAAAACTTAAGGCTAGTTTCGTACTTAGAACTCCTCCCATATCTCTCCCTATATTATCTAACATCTCCCCTTTTGGTTATAAACTTCCAAGGAAAGGAAATACGCCTAACTTTTAACCACCCCTCCCCACCATCAGTCCCGTAATAATTCTGAACAATGTTAACTGAGCAGTGAAAAATGTATTTTAGAGCTTAAAATAATGAAACAACTAGTTCACATGAAATATATCATATGCACTAATGCCATTCCCCAATTCCCTGACAAAACAGAGGCCCACGAGCATTCTAATAGAAATATCAGAACTGAGACTACAACATGCGGACATCCTTCATTGACTTTGTGCAGATAAAACAGGTAACTCAGAAATAATTACTTTTTAACAAAAGCCTAAATAGTATGAAATCTCTGCTTCTGAGTCGTAGAATTTTTAAAATCACATCTCACACTTTTCAAAGTCTGAAAGAGGGGCAGCCTCAAGCGCTGTGGCCGTATCTGTCATCGCCTACAGAGAGTAATTTCACAGCGGTCAGGGTTCTTTCCCGTCCCGTTCTACGTTTCGCACAGGAAGGACAGGTAGGAGGCAGCTTCTGGGGCGCGTGGGGGCAAACCCCACTCCTTCCCTGACAGCCCCAGTTTAGGATAGCGGAAGTCTGCAAAAGGGAAGGGACCTGTCTGGCCGCTCCCAGGCACACTGGCCCCGAGTCCTTCCGCAGTTCACATTCCGGTAGGCAGCGCGGGGCCGCCACGCCTGAAGAAGTTAAGGGGGAGCCGGAACCCACTGGGCAGGAGGTGGGGAGCGGGAGCCAGGACCGCGGGGGTACCTCAAAGCCGCTGAACCGACAGGGGCCGCAATGCCTACGGCTGCCCGAAGTCCCCGCAGTGACCCAAGACCCCGGGACGGCTCCACGTCGTAAAGGCAGAAAACGCCACAGTCGAGCGGCCAGCGCCATGTTCTGCAACTCGCAGGCTGAACCTGCACTACTTCAGGCAGCTACGGAGGCGGGCGGGTCTAAAGAAGCCTCAGTCCTTCCGGAGAGAACCGCGTCCGCCCGCCCCCAGCCCTGCACCTCCACCGCCCCCATGGCTTCCGGTCCACGGGCTTAGGGGGCGGGAAATACCCCGATTGGGTGGGACGCAGTGGACCTTCCGCACCTGCGCCCAAAGAACTGAGGCCGTGAGAGCGCTGTATTCAGGCTCTCTGACTCGTTTCTGCTCCATCTGCCCAGGAGGCTTTCAGGGTTTGGGTACAAGGATAAGTCACCAGAACACAATTGAAAGCTCAGAAATAGACCCAAGAATACAAGTATGCAAGAAAAAAAATTATCATTTTAATTATCGGCTCCCTTCAAAAGTAGAATGAATCTTGGCACTAATGGGTCTTTTTTGGAAATAAATAATTGGAAGAATTAAGTTGCCCAATATGAGAAAGGGAAAGGAAGAGACTGAGCGACTCAAGGGGGTAAATTCAAGCAAGAGAGAGGCCGGAGCAGAGGAACAAAGAATGCAAAGCGCAAGCTGGTTTTGGGAAGAAGAACTAGTGGGAGGAGACCTCTGGACAGGATATTGATGCCCCTGTATGCTAGGGCATGTATGGGGAAAAAAAACACAAAAAACAAAAAACCTGGTCTTCCCAAAAATTCTTCAATAAGATGTTTTACTTACTCGAGCAAAATATTTTATTTTACTCAAGTAAAATAAAATTTCTTACTAGAGTGAAATTCTTTTGTGGGAAAATGAAGAAGTTTTGAATCCTGCTTAAGGTCTGATGGTGGAAACACAGACTGCAAATGGAGTACCCACTATATGGGTTTCAACAAAAAATTCTACGGGTAATGAGGGGAGTCATGGTTTTAAAAAATTAGGTTGCATTTCTATGATACTTTTTTTTTTTTTTTTTTTTTTTTGAGACGGGGTTTTACTCATGTTTCCCAGGCTGGAGTGCAATGGCGCGATCTCGGCTCACCGCAACCTCCGCCTCCCGGGTTCAGGCAATTCTCCTGCCTCAGCCTCCTGAGTCGCTGGGATTACAGGCACGCGCCACCATGCCCAGCTAATTTTTTGTATTTTTAGTAGAGACGGGGTTTCACCATGTTGACCAGGATGGTCTCGATCTCTTGACCTTGTGATCCACCCGCCTCGGCCTCCCAAAGTGCTGGGATTACAGGCTTGAGCCACCGCGCCCGGCCCTTCTATGATACTTTTAATACTGTATAGGGAATTAATACATGGTTGTATTGATCTTCCCAACGGCCCTGTGATGTAACTGGTATCCCAGGTTTACAAATTTAAAAAACCGTAGCTCAAAGAGATGTATTAACCTAACCACGGATATATTAGAAGACGGGAATCCACGTGTTTCTATTCTGAGTCCAGTGTTCCTTCTACTATATGATTGCTGCCTCCACTAGTTCCCATTAAATCAACTATATTTCTTTAGGATTATGTCTTTAAAGTCTATCTTTATAAATATGTAGATCTCCTTCCCAACTGCTGAAACCTAGACTTTTTTCCGAGAGAGAGAATCATTTTTATGCATTTCTACTGGTAGCTACCTCAATATTGCTAAACAATATGTTTATACCACATGATAATACTTTAATTAAGTTTCTGATATCTCTGCTAGAGTGAATTTGTAATTAAGTTTTTAGCTTTAAAAAAAATTAGATCCTAAGTTGCAGGAACTCCCATATATTCTTCAGCTAGATTCAGCCATTGCTAACTTTTTCTCATATTTGCATTACCTTTCTTTACATATGTTACCTGTAATATACATGTTATATTCCTAGTATTTTCTGTTGTTAGGCCTTTTGAGAGTAATTACAGATACCATGACTCTCACTCTTAAAGCAAAGACATTCTCTTATTTAGTCTCAGTATAATTATCAAATTCAGGAAACCAAAAGTGACAGAATAGTACTATTTAACATACAAATTTTGTTTACTTCCCAATGCTGTCCTCTTGTATTTTTTTGTGTTTGTTTGTTTTTGTTTTTGTTTTTTTGAGATGGAGTTTCACTCCTATCGCCCAGATTGGAGGGCAGTGGCGCAATCTCGGCTCACTGAAACCTCCACCTCCCAGGTTCAAGTGATTTTCCTGTCTCAGCCTCCCAAGTAGCTGGGATTACAGGCATGTGCCGCCATGCCTGGCAATTTTTGTATTCTTAGTAGAGAAGATACAGAATACAAAAAAATAATAATTTTTGTATTCTTTGCCCCTGCTCCATGTTGGTCGGGCTGGTCACAAACTCCTGACCTCAGGTGATCTGCCCACCTCAGCCTCCCAAAGTGCTGTCCTTTATACTAATGACTTTTCTTCTAAATTCAAGATCAAATCTTGATAACCTTTAAATCCTCAGCCTTTGTCTTTCATGACATTAGTATTTTTTTCTTTTTTGAGATGGAGTTTCACTCTTGTGCTGGGCATGGTGGCGCGTGCCTGTAATCCCAGCTACTCAGGAGGCTGAGGCAGGACATTAGTATTTTTTAAATGTATAGTCCTGTTGATTTAAAGCAGGGTTTCTCAGCCTTGGCACTATTGAACTTTTGGGCTGAAGAATTCCTTCAGCCCCTGCCAAGCCATCAGATTATTGTAGGCTTGGCTAATATCTGACTGCAAAATCAAGAGAGATGATGAGCTAGAACCACCTAGCTAAGCCAATTCTAAATTCCTAAACCACAGAAGCTATGAGAGAAAATAAATGATTGCTCCTGTTTTAAACCACTAAATTTGATGTAATCTGTTATAGAGCAACTGATAACTAATGCAACACCAAGTAAAGCATATACAGTTGGAGTGTGCAGTTTCAGAGAAAAGGTGTGGAAGTTTGATAACCTTAAGAATATAGGCTGGGCATGTGGCTCACACGTGTAATCCCAACAATTTGGGAGGCCAAAGCCGGAGAATAATTTCAGGCATGTTCGAGACCAGCCTGGGCAGATAGTGAGGCTCTGTCTCTACAAAAAAAATGTTTTTGGTTTATTTTTTAAATTTGCTGCATGTGGTGGTGCATGCTGTAGTCCCATCTACTCAGGAGGATGAGCTGGGAGGATCATTTGAGCCCAGGTGTTTGAGGTTGCAGGGAGCAGTGATCATGACACTATCTTTAACAGAAAAAAAAAAAAAGAGAGAGAGAGAGAGAGAGACAGAGAGAGAATTCAAATGGAATTCAAAGCTGTGGGACAAAGGCTGGGCATGGTGGCTTACGGCTATAATCCCAGTATTTTGGGAAGCTGAAGCCGGTGGATTGCTTGAGCTCAGGAGTTCAACACCAGCCTGGGCAACATGGTGAAGCCCTGTCTCTACAAAAAGTGCAGGAATTAGCCAGGCACGGTGGCTCATGCTTGTAGGTCCTAGCTATTTTGGGAGGCTGAGGTGGGAGGATCAGCCTGAGAGGTTGAAGCTGTGGTGAATGGTGAATCGTGTTCTACCACTGCACCCCAGCCTAGAGGACAGAGCGAGAGCCTGTCTCAAAAAAAAAAAAAAAAAACAAACCTATTAAGACTGGATGAGGTAATTAAAAATGTGAGTGAAGGAGCGAAGATAGAAAGAAGTAAAGGTCCAGGAATTAAGCCATAGGAATATGAGGACCAAAATACAAAGGAGACAAGAAGGAATACCTCGTGAAGCAGAACACATTGGAGAAAAAATATTTTGTGAATATCTCATTCATTTATTCATTTTAACATGCAATTGACTCTCCACCAGGTGTTGTTTTATTTCTTGTTAGCCTTGATATCCAACATGCATTCAACACATGTTACATTAGAATGGAATTTAGACTCTAGTTAAGGAGAATAAATAAATACATTGAGTAGCTATGGCATTATGTGTTTAAACGATAGATTTCTGTTTGGATACTGAAAGTACAAAACCATCCCCTTGCCTCTACTCTTTCCCTATTTTAGTGGAAAGAAGAGTTGTGAAAGTTAGGTATGGATACTATATATTCTGGAAAATTTGAAACATGCAATTCAATTAGTGGTGCCTGAGGACCTTCATTTACATATGAAAGCAGAATCAAAAATAGAGCCAGCAACCTTTAGTAAAAACAAAAACACTTTTAGTACCTCCCCAGCAAAGGTCTTGTTTCTGCACTTGCACTTTGTTCTTGTCTTTGCCCCTGCTATCATTCCTGTGCCCCCAGATATTTGCATCACTGGCTCCTTCTTATTATTCAAATCTCAGGTCAAATACCATCTTAGAAAGCTCTTTTCTGAGCTCCCATCTATAAGCACACACTATCTTCAAGTCCCTCTATCACATCACCCTGCCTTAACTTTCCTCATGGCACTTCAGCCTGTCTGAAATCTCATCTTGTCTTTAACAACTAACGTATTATTCGACCCTCCTCTATGGTAGAAGTTCCTGTCCATCTTGCTCACAAGTCTAGAACAATGCACATAGTAGGCAATCAGGATGTGTTTGTTGCATAAATGAATGAATCCTCACTGGCACTGACGCGATTTTTAAAACGTTTAATTTGCAAGCCAGACATGGTGATCACTCCTGTAATCCCAGCACTCTGGGAGGCCAACGCTGGCAGATCACTTGAGCCCAGGAGTTCAGCACCAGCCTGGGCAACACAGTGAGACCCCATTTCTTAAAAAAAATAAAAATAAAAATGTTTAGTTTGCATATTTTGGATTAAAAATAAAGTTTTTATTTAGGAATGTCTGTTTCTTGATTGGATACCCTTTCCATTTCTTTTTCTTTTTTTTT